TCTTCAACACAGTGTAATCACCATTAAAGGGGTGTTCCTTCACACTCGGGCTCACACACACTGAAATCACTATTAAAGGGGTGTTCCTCCACACTCGGGCTCTCCGACACAGTGATATTACTGTTAAAGGGGTTGTTGCTCCAAAATCGGGCTCACAGACACTGAAATCACTATCAAAGGGATGTTCCTTCATACTCAAGCTCTCCCACACACTGAAATCACTATTAAAGGGATGTTCCTTCACACTCAAGCTCTCCCACACATTGAAATCACTATTAAAGGGGTGTTCCTCCACATTCGGGCTCTCGCACACTGAAATCACTATTAAAGGGGTCTTCCTTCATACTGCGTTCACACACACTGAAATCACTATTAAAGGGGTCTTCCTTCATACTGCGTTCACACACACTGAAATCACTATTAAAGGTATGTTCTTTCACCCGTGGGCTCACACTCACACTGAAATCACTATTAAAGGTGTGTTCTTTCACACATGGGCTCACACTCACTGAAATCACTATTAAAGGGGTGTTTCTTCACAATCGGGCTCTCACGCACAGTGCAATCACTATTAAAGGGGTCTTACGGCACACTGGGGCTCACACACATTGAAATCACTATTAAAGGTGTGTTCCTTCACAATCTGGCTCACATACACTGAAATCACTATTAAACTGGTCTTCCTTCTCTCCCGGGCTCAGTCACATACTGAAATCACTATTAAAGGAGTGTTCCTTCACAATGGGGCTCACACACACTGAAATCACTATTACAGGGGGGTTCCTTCACACTCGGGTTCTCCAACACGGTGAAATCACGATTAAAAGGGTGTTTCTTCACACACGGGCTCTCCGACACAGTGATATTACTGTTAAAGGGGTTGTTGCTCCAAAATCGGGCTCACAGACACTGAAATCACTATTAAAGTGGTGTTCCTTCACACTCAAGCTCTCCCACACACTGAAATCAGTATTACAGGGGTGTTTCTTCACACTCGGGCTCTCACACGCACTGAAATCGCTATTAAAAGGGGTATTTCTTCACATCCTGGCTCTCATACGCACTGATATCCCTATTAAAGTGATGTTCCTTCACAATCGGGCTCACTCACATTGAAATCACTATTAAAAGGTTGTTCCTTTACACTTGGGTTCTCACACACTGAAATCACTATTAGAGGGGTTTTCCTTCACACTTGGGCTCTCCCACATTGAAATCACTATTAAAGGGGTTTTCCTTCACACTCGGGTTCTCTCACACACTGATATCATTGTTAAAGGGGTGTTGCTTCACAATCGGGCTCACACACACTGAAATCACTATTAAATGGGTCTTCCTTCACACTGGGTTCACACACACTGAACTCACTATTAAAGGTATGTTCTTTCACACGTGGGCTCACACTCCCACTGAAATCACTATTAAAGGGGTGTTCCTTCACAATCGGGCTCTCACGCACAGTGCAATCACTATTAAAGGGGTCTTACGGCACACTGGAGCTCTCACACACACTGAAATCACTATTAAAGGAGTGTTCCTGCACACCCATCTCTCACACATTGAAATCACTATTAAAGGGGTGTTCCTTCACACTCGGGCTCTCACACACATTGAAGTCATTATTACAGGGGTGTTCCTTCAAACTCGGCTCTCACACAGACTGAAATCACTATTACAGAGGTGTTCCTTCACACTCGGGCTCTCACACACACTGAAATCACTATTAAAGGGGTGTTCTTTCACACCCAGGCCAACAAACAAACTGAAATAACTATTAAAAGAGTGATCTTTCACACCTGGGCTCAGACACACAAATAAATATTCATGGAATGTGTTCCTTCACACCCGGGCTGCCCAAAAGTGTGAAATCACTACTAAAGGGGTGTTCTTTCACACTCCGGCTCTCACACAGTGAACTCACTATTAAAGTGGTGTTCCTTCACAATCGGGCTCTCACACACACTGAAATCACAATTAATGGAGTGTTCCCTCATATGGTTTAGCTTCTGTATTTTGCCGATAGGCGCAATTAATTTTTGGAGTTCAGACACGGGAACAATGAGTTGCTTTGGGTGCCTGGGAGTTTTTTTTTTGGAATGATTCGGGGTGGGACGAGATCATGTCGCTGGGGGCGGTGTTGGTGTTGCATCAAAGGTCCCTGGTTGGGGGACAATTTTCGTCTTTGAGCCTCTGACCTGGGGCCAGTGAACCTCTGAATGATTCCTGAGAAAGCTTACTTGGCGTGAAATCGTTTGTCTTCACGGTGTGTGAGTTCAGGTTTCCTGGGCAGGTTCTTAAAATCTGACTCCGAGCTGGGTGCTAAATTCTGTCTGTGCCGCGCTGATGATTTCACGTTTAACTCTCTCCAGCCTGAGTCGATCCCTTACAGCCTTCTCACTGCCTGCCTGCACATCCAGATCAAATGGGGAGAGACCAAGTGAGACAAGGGGTTAGAGGGGAGACTGGTAGGGGGAGAGACAGGGAGAGAAGGAAGAAGAGAGAAAGTTGGAGAGATAGAAAGCTACAGAAACCAGATAAAGAGATGTGAAGCTAGACAAGGTGATGTGGCAGGGAATATGACTGAAAGAGTTTGTTAATGAGGAAGACAGACAGAGTCAGAGCGAGACAGAAGGGTAGAGACAGCAACAGACAGAGTGAGAGAGATGGAGAGTAAAAGAGAGGGAGATGGAGAAGGAGGCAGAGAGAAGAAGAGACAGGGAAAGAAAGTATGAGAGAGAGAGACAGAACAAGCAAAAGGGAAAGAAAGCATGACAGAGTCAGAGAGACAGAGAAGGGATGACAGAGGGTGGTAGAAGCAGCAAGAAAGATGCAGAGAAAGCAACAGACAGAGACAGAAGGAATGGCAGAGAGGCACAAAAAAGGTGACAGAGAGAGAGGGTAGGGAAAGAGATAGACAGTGAAAGAGGACTGAGATGAGGAGAAATGTCTTCACCCAGAAAATGGCAAACCTGTGGAATTCACTAGCACAGAAAGTGGTTGAGGCCAAAACATTGTGTTTTCAAGAAGGAGGTACATATAGCTCATGTAGTTCAAGGGATCAAGGGATATGGGGAGAGGGGAACAGGGGATTGAATTGGATGATCAGCCATGATCATCAATAAAGGGCAGAGCAGGCCTGAGGGGCTGACTGACCTACTTCTGCTTCTATTCCCATTATTTCTATGTTATAGAGAGAAAACGGCAGAGAGAGCAGGAGATAGAGAGAAGAAATGATAGAGAGGAAGAGGGAGAGAGGCAGAGAGAAAGACAGACACAGAACGAAAGAGAGACAGAGAGAGAAGGAGTGACAGGGAGAGAGTGAGAGAAGCAGTGACAGAAAGAGATGGAGAGAAAGAGAAGAAAGAGAGACACACGCACGCACACACATGCATACACATGGGATAGAAATGGTCTATGAGAGAATAAGACTGAGAGAACGAGAGAGGAGGAAAAGGAGAGAGCAAGGACTTCGAATGGAGGCTAAGCTGGTGGGAGAGTAAGGGAACAGACATTTTGCAGAGGATGATAATATGTGGAAAGAGGCATGTGTGAAATAAACTGGCATCAGTGGACAAAACAGTTGGATGTGGGCAGCAGAGCCCCTGAGGTTAACCCTAGCACTCAAACGGTCATGCAGGGGTTGGCATTGATCGAAAAGGCCAGCACATATTCAGTAAAACTTACCATTACTGAGTAAGTGGGACCCCAGGTGTCCCTTGAACTAAGAGAAATTGTCAATGAAATTAAATGCACCGTAAAAGGGTTCAAAAGGATGACCAGCTACATCCATGCCAATAATCCGCCTGTATGTTTG